TATTTATTTTCAGTGTCTATATTACTACTGTATGAACTTTGAGGCCTATAGCCATCTACAAAATAAAGAATACTGGTAATTCTTGAAACTAGACTATGTAGAGAACTGGGTTTGAATTTGTGGTTCCTCTGAATAAAAGGCAAGTTCCTTTACTTAAAGAAAGCACTTCTCCTTTTTAAGTTAGGTCTACATTGTTCAAGTCCAGAAATCAAAGTTAATTCTAACTAATAAAATACTTGACTTGAAAAATTCACAGCTGAATTAGAGGATATAGGTTTAAAGTGGGCAGGGGGCAGGTAGACAGGGGATTGCTGTTTTCTTATTAATTAGAACTGGCATTTTTTCATTTTTGCATTCTCTTTTTCCCACCCTCAACCTCACCACTCCTTATCCTTTCTGTCCCTCTTTCCCCTTTCCCCATCTTCTTCCCTCCTTCATTTCTGAGCTCTGGCCAGCCTGAGTTAGGAAGAAAGTCATCCTCATGGTGATCAGAGGCCTGCCACAGGCAGATGTACACGTTGTGCACTGAACAAGGGCACCAACCAGGGTTCAAGTGTGACTGCGCTCCAGCCAGAGTGCCACGTGCTGAGCTATGCTCAGCCCCTGGAAGGGGTGCCTTTTCCTTTTCACAAAAATGTCATCTGCTCATCAAGCATGTGCTGCTAGTCCACACGCAACGAAAGGGAATTCTGATTTCCATCCAGCAGCCATATATGTAGGTGGTGTCTATCAAAATCTAATGCAGGAGATGGGTGAGTAAACTGAGAAGATATTAACCCTGCTTCCCCAGCTCAGTCCTGGAGGAAGATGGTATTTTAAAAGACAGGTTTTGTTGTTATTTAGATGTGTTGAGGCCACAGATCAGGAAACAACTGCCATTGAAATAGTAGTTTGTTATGCTCCGAGATTTTAAGAGAAGGACAGATGGGCTTGGAGAGGAGGGCCCTTGGGAGCGAGGGGGAGTCCCTGAGTGGGTCAGGAGGCAGAAAGGGGAATGTGATGACAGCCTCTATTGTGGTTTCTGTATAAGACATGTAAGCAGGCTGAGGACTGGCTAGTCTGAATTCCTGCAGCAGGCTCTGGGGCTTAGTGGCTTTCCTAAGTCATCAGATGCCTGGCTCTGGAGTGATTAGGCCAGGGGCATAATGCCCAGTGTGAGAACCCAAGACTGGGGTGGTTGCCCTGTGAACTCTGTATTGATAGTTTGCATTGAAAAGTGAGTTCTAGTGAGTTGTTGACTATCTCTAAGAGTTAACTAATTGATCAGGGCAGTCCCTCCAGGAGCCACAAGTCCCAGCTGTCAAAGCATCTGAATACAGAAAGTAAAGTGAAAGTGAAAGTTGCTCAGTCATGTCTGACTCTTTGCAACCCCATGGACTGTACAGTCCAAGGAATTCTCTAGGTCAGAATACTGGAATGGGTAGCCTTTCCCTTCTCCAGGGAATCGTCCCAACCCAGGGATTGAACCCAGGGTTCGATTTTGCAGGTGGATTATTTACCAGCTGAGCCAGAAGGGAAGTAAAAGACATGCTTAATGCAGCAGGCAGGTTCTTAGAGCCCCAGGGGTGGCTTATGTCATTAATTCTGCTCTGACAAATGCTTATGATTTCAACCATTCTCACTACAGACTCGGTGCGTTTCTGGGTCTCAGTGTTTAGAGACTTCAAGTGTTGGGGTCAGGAAAAGATCTTTAAGATTTTCCTGAAAATTTGATGATACAGCTGATAAGAGCATGACTTTAATGAACCCAGTGTTGACCCACAAAGTAAGCACTTTATGTGCATTTTAGAATGTGTTTTTTGCCAGACCCCATGAAGGAATGTGGTTATTCCTATTAGCCCTGTTTTATAGATGAAGAAAATAGAGGGGGAAAAAGTGGAAACAATGATAGATTTTATTTTCTGGGGCTCCAAAATCATTGCAGACAGTGACTATAGCCATGAAATTAAAAGATGTTTGCTACTTGGAAGAAAAGCTATGACAAATCTAGACAACATATTAAAAAGCAGAAATATTACTTTGCCAATAAAGGTCTGTATAGTTAAAGCTATGGTTTTTCCAGTAGTTATGTATGGATGTGAGAGTTGGACCATAACGAAGGCTGAGTGCCAAAGAATTGATGCTTTAGAAGACTCTTGAGAGTCCCTTGGACAGCAAAGAGATAAAACCAGTCAATCCTAAAGGAAATCAACCCTGAATATAAAGGACTGATGCTGAAGCCAAAGCTATAATATTTTGGCCACCTGATGCAATGAACAGACTCATTGGGAAAGATTGAGGGCAAGAAAAAGGAGATGATAGCGGTTGAGATGGTTGGATGACATCACTGACTCAATGGACATGAGTTTGAGGAAACTTTGGGAGTCGGTGAAGGACAGGGAAGCTTGGCGTGCTGCAGTCCATGGGGTTGCAATTGGACACGACTTAGCCACTGAACTGAACTGATCCTAGAGAATGTTCCAAAAGCATCTGAGAATGTATATTCTGCTGCTTTTGAATTGAATGCTCTATAAATATCAATTAAGTCTGTCTGACTTAATATTAATAGAGCTTTAGATCAATCTGATCTAATGCTCTATAAATAACAGATAGGTCCATCTAATTCCTTAATGATTTTCTGTCTTGATGGCTTGTCCATTGATGTGAGTGGAGTGTTAGAATCCCCCACAATTGTTTTGTTACTGTCAATTTTTCTTTTTATGACTGTTAGTATTTGCCATATATATTGAGCTGCTCTTATGTTGGGTGCATGTATGTTTACACTTGTTGTATCTTCCTTGATTGCTCCCTTGATCATTATGTAGTGTCCTTGTCTCTTCTAACAACCTTTATTTTAAAGCCTATTTTGTCTGATATGAGTGTCACTTCTTCAGCTTTCTTTTGATTTCCATTTGCATGGAATACCTTTTCATCCTCACACATTCAATCTGTATGCATCCCTAGATCTGAAGTGGGTCTCTTATAGATAGCATGTGTTAATGTATGAGCCTTACTTTTGTATTCATTTTAGCCAGACTGTGTCTTTTGGTTGGGGCATTTAATCCATTTACATTTAAGGTAATTAATGATATGTATATGCTTATTGCTGTTTTGGATTTGTTTTGTAGGTCTTTTTTCTTCCCTTCCTCTTTTGTTCTCTTCTCTTGTTATTAGATGACTAACTTTAGTGTTGTGTTCGGATTGTTTTGCTTTTTTGTGTGTCTATTACAGACTTCCAGTTTGTTGTAACCACGAGGATTTGATATAGCAGACTGTATCTGTATAAGATGGTTTTAAATTACTAGTCTTTTAATTTCTGAAGCATTTACTACAGTCTGTGTTTGTACTCTTCTTATGATCTTTGGTTTTGGTATCATATTTCTGTGTGAATGATTTCCTGCCTCTGTTGTATACTTGCCTGTACTGACCAACCTTCCCATTTGTAATTTTTTTGTTTCTAGTTGTGTCTTTTTCTTTTCTGCCTAGAGAAGTTTCTTTAGCATTTTTTTGTAAAGCTGTTTTGGTAGTGCTGAAATCTCTTAGCTTTTGTCTGTAAAGTTTTTGATTTCTCCATCAGATCTGAATGAGAACCTTGCTAGGTAGAGTATTCTTCATTGTAGGTTTTTCCCTTTCATCACTTTATATGTATCATGCCACTTCCTTCTGACCTGTAGAGATTTTGCTGAAAAATTAACTGATAACCTTGTGGGGATTTGTTGTTTTTCCCTTGTTGCTTTTAATATTTTCTCTTTGTTTTTATCTTCTCACAATTTGATTAGTACATGTCTCAGCATGTTCCTCCTTGGGTTTATCTTATGTGGGACTCTGAACATCCTAGACTGAAGTGAATGTTTCCTTTCTCATGTTAGGGAAGTTTTTGCACTATTATCTCTCCAAATATTTTATCAAGCACATTTTTTTCTTCTTTTGTGACCTCTGTTGAGAATGTTTGCAGTTTAATGTTGTCCCAGAGGTCTCTTCAACTGTCCTTATTTCTTTACATTCTTTTTCCTTTATTCTGTTCTGTGTCATTGAGTTCTACCTTTCTGTCTTCCAGCTTACTTATTCCTCCTTTTGCTTCATTTACTCTGTTGATTCCTTCTAGTATACTTTTCATTTCAGTCATTGTTCGTCTGCCTATTCTTTATATCATCTAGCTCTTCTTTAATATAATTTTGTTTATTTATTTTTCGGCTGTGCTGGGTCTTTGTTCTTGTGTGGGCCTTTCCCTGGTTGCAGAGACCAGGGCTACTCTTCATTGCAGTGATAGGCATCTGATTGCGGTGGCTTCTCTTGTGGAGCATGGACTCTAAGGTGTGTGGGCTTCAGTAATTGCCTCACACGGGCTCAGTAGTTGTAGCTCCCAGCTCTAGAGTACGGGCTCAATAGTTGTGGCACATGGGCTTGGTAGCTCTGAGGCATGTGAGACCAGAGATCGAACTTGTGTTCTGTGCTGTCAGGCAGATTCTTTACCACTGAGCCACCAGGAAAACCCCTCACCTAGCTCTCTGTTAAATATTTCTTGTACCTTCTTGGTCTCTGTCTCCTTTCTTTTTCCAGGATCATGGATCATCTTTTCTATCATTATACTAAATACTTTACTGGGTATATTGCCTGTCTCCACTTCACTTAGCTGTTACTTGGGGTTTTTATCTTGTTCTTCATCTGGAACAGATTTCTCTGCTGTCTCATTTCGTCTAACTTTCTGCGTGGTGGTCTCCTTCCACAGACGGCAGAATCGTAGCTCCTCTTACTTCTTGTGTCTGACTCTTGACCCTGGGGGGTGAAGCTGGTCCTAAGGCTTGTGCAGGCTTCCTGGTAGGAGGTCCTGGTGCCCGCCCACTGGTGTGTGGACCTGGGTCCTGTCTCTNGGTGTGTGGACTTGGGTCCTGTCTCTCTGGGGGGCAGAGCCATGTCAAGAAGTGTGTTTAGTTGTGACTGGGGGCTCAGGAAGGTTTTAGGCAGCTTGTCTGCTTATGAGTAGGGCTCTGCTCCTTCCTTGTTGGTTGTTTGCCCTGCAGGGTCCTGGCACTGGTGCTTACAGGCTGCTGGGTGGTACCAGGTCTTCGTGTCAGGATGGCAGCCTCCAGCCTGCCGGTGAGTACCCCCAGGTACCTCTGCCACCAGTGTTCTTGTCCCCGTGGTGGGTCACACCTGCACCTGCCTCCCCAGCAAGCCCTCCAAGACCTTCAGGCCAGTCTGGCGCAGGATCCTATGGAGTCACTGCTCTTTATCTGGGTTCCCGTGCACACGATGCTTTGTGTGCACCCTCCAGGTGTGACGTTTCTGCTTCACCCAGTCCTCTGGGGTTCATGTGATCAATCCTGATTGGCCTTCACAGCCCGATTCTCTGGGGGCTATTCCTTGCGGTGCCACGCCCCTCCCAGGCTGAAGAGCCATGTGTGGGGCTCAGAACTCTCACTTCTGTGGGAGAAACTCTATGATTCCCTATTTTCCAGTTTGTAGGTCACCCACCTAGTGGGTATGGGATTTGATTTTATTGTGCTCCTTTTCTCATCCTGTTGTGTGGCTTCTTCTTTGCTTTTAGGTGGAGAATATTTTTTCTGGTAGGTTTCGGTCTTTTTTGTTGACACAGTTCAGCAAGCAGTTAGTCGTGATCTTGGTGTTCTTGTGAGAGGAGGTGAGTTCAAGTCCTTCTACTTCACCGTCTTCTCTCCAACTGCCTCGAATCCTGCATATATTAATCTCTACCAGGTACCTTTTCCACGATAAATAATTGCTCTATATCTTTCTATATTCCCTTCTTACCTGTTCCAAGAAAGTATTTATAATTAGAGAAAGGAATCAATTATTTGTTTGAAACTTACTATGTTCCAGCATGAGTAGGTTGTGCTTTATCTGTTTTGTGCTTAAAACACATAGATCTGCATTGTAGGAGGGCCTGGAACACATTCCATTCACTTCTCGCCCATTTCTGGAATGCCTATTTCCACTGTTGGGGAGTGTGCATATAAAGAAGAGTATTTGGAAGGAAGCATCTGAGTTAATGGAACAAATACCTGCAGGAAAGTAATTCTGACTTCAGGCTTTGCATTTGATGCTCACCTAAGCCTAGTCACCCTGACCATTGATTTCAGGATGGTGTTCAACCCTCTAATCTGTGGCTAAGGAACCAACACTTTTTTAAGAGAACCGCAGAAGCCAGTGACAGCTGCCAAGACCATTCCTGCTGCCGTCATTTGTATGCTCTTTTCCCCCTGTCACATTTCTTCTAACTTAGCATCTGCTTTTCCTGGGATATTGAGAAAGGCAAGATTTAGTTTCACCCCTGAGAAGAAGCTGTTACTGTGTGTGAAATGTCAAGATGCATAAAAACATTCACTCTTTCAGACAGCCAGAAGCAGTGACTCCCCCATCCTGCTGTGTTTAAACCTCTTTTCTCAGCATCGAGAAGGGGCTTCCCTGGTAGCTCAGATGGTAAAGCGTCTGCCTGCAATGTGGGAGAGCCCGGTTCGATCCCTGGGTCGGAAAGATCCCCTGGAGAAGGAAATGGCAACCCACTTCGGTATTCTTGCCCCTAGAATCCCTTGGACTGAGGATCCTGGTAGGCTTCAGTCCATGGGGTCGCGAAGAGTCAGACACGACTGAGCGACTTCCCTCACTTCTCAGCATTGACAAAATACAAAGGATGGTACAGACCTTGTTCCTGGCCTAGCAGAGCTTACCACCCATGTAGGAAGACAGGAAAACAAATATGGAAGAAAGGCTCACCCCATGGATCACTAAGTGTGTGCCACCAAGGGGCGGGGAGTTTGTGGTTCAAATACTGACCCTGCTCTCACTAGCCGTGTGACCTCAAGCACTAACTTCCCTGTGCCAACATTTACTTGTTTGTGAAATGAGAGAAAATAACCCCTACCTCTTAGTTCCTTATATTTGCTATAATAAATACTTACACCCGGCTCAATACTAGGTACAAAACTGACGATAAATGTTAGTTTTCTTTTGTAAATAGTGTACCAACTTTCAGACTTTGTACCCAGTCTAGTAATTTAATCAAACCAAATATTTGTTGGGTGCCTACTGTGTTCCAAGCACTGTGCTAGTTGGTGGGGGTTCAATAGTGGAGGATGAACAGAGTTGGCCATTAGGAGGCGACCATCTGATGAGATGGTAGATGGGAGAAGACAGGATTCATCTGCTGTGATAAATTCTCAGGAGGCAGGGGCACAGGACTACCAGGGAAGATGCCTAACTTGGTCTTGAGGACTCTGAGAAGGCTTCCTGAGAACACCTATATATCTAAGCTAAGAACTGACAAATGAAAAGCAGTTGTTCATTCATTAATTCATTTGATTGAAATTTATGGAGTTTTTACTATGTGCCAGACACAGTGAAGGAATTTGAGGTTGAAAGTAAAAGAATAAAAGAATTGTAAATTATGATAATGCTGTGGAGGAATAATCAGGACAATCTGATAAATGTAAAACAGTATCAGAAGGATGGAATATTTGCTATTCTTAACTTCAGTTCACAGATAGGGAAACTGAGGCATGAGAGTGAATAACTTGCCCAAGGTCACATAGCTAATGAGTGGTTAGCAGATCTGAGTGTATTGCTTACAATCTCTTTGTAAAGATTTAATAAAATATTTATGAAGTTCTTAGCATAGTGCCAACACATAACACGTCATTTTTCTTTCTCTGTCTCCTGTATTTTACCAATGTTGACCTTACCTACCTACCTAACTCCACACTTTCTAACACTGTGCATATATTTATGGGAGGCCATAAATTGCCATTTCTAATGTAGGCAAATATTTATATGAACAGCTTTATTTTGGTGTCCTGACATGGTAATGAAATATACGGTCACACTGACAAGATGAAATGTCTTCTGGACACCTGGGTTCCTGTCTGTAGCCACTGGCAAGTGTTAATCTGCCCAAGTGTAGCCAGCTGTGTTGTTGAGATGTTTCTTGGTATTTGGGAGCCATCTGTGCGTTTAGACTGAGCCCTTAACTGCACAGGAAAGGCAAACCCACAAGCCTGTTTATTAAATGCTCATAAAATTGATGTCCTAAAAAAAAAAATTGATATCCTGCCCCGTAACAAAACAATTATAAATCATTAGATCCATGGAGAGCTGTTATTAAAATACTGGGATATAATTTCCTTAGGAAATTATACTGGTGATACCGGCAGCCTCTGATCTAAAATGTGGACTGTCTGTGTCACCAAGTCACTCATTTTTCCTGTTGGTTTGTTTGAAGTGATACTGAACTGACCAGTTGTTCTGGTATTATATAAACACATCTTAAATCTGAGTACAAATGAAGCATTTAATTGCTTTGTATTTTTTCTCAAGTAAGATTTAAGAGAAAATTGCAGCATTTCCCCAGCTTATTTTCAGTTGTATGATTTTTTTTCCTCCTGCTTTTGCTCTAAAAACATGAATTTTGCTAGTCCTGAGCATAGCCACTATGACAACTCAACCAGCAAGATAAAAGAAATAGCAAGTGTGAGCATCGGTTGACAGAAATCACTTCACTCAACTCATTGATGGATACAGAGAAGTGAAAGGCAAGGTTTCCACATTCAAGAAGTTTCCAGTCTTTGAAAACAACTAAATCAACCCTAGAATGTCTGTAAAGTATCAGGTGCAAAACTATGGAGTATACTAAAAGTAAAAGGGAGGCATAAAATTTTTTAAAATTGAAGGAGTGAAAGTATCAACAGGGTTTGAGAGAGAAATGCACTGGATGACCGAGGAGATTTTACTGATTTTGGCAAACGTGTGTACAGAGTTTGGGGAAGCAAGAAGGAGAGGTGCAGGCTCAGAGCTGTTGCCCGCCTTGGAGTGGAGGGAATGGGGTCCAGGAGAGAGCAGTACTGTAGCTACAGGAGTGGGTGGAGGAGGGGCTGTGTTCTTCTAAAGGACCAAGTCTTCTGTGACTGTCAGTGACTCTGCAGAGAAGGGGCCAGAGGAAGAAATGTCCAGATGTCTCGTTCCTATTGACCCCTGACCTTTCACCTGTACCTCTTATTGGCTGAGCCTACCATCAGGGGAACTCTGATTTAGCGATTCACAGAAGTTAGCTCCCTGGACCACAGAGCAGGATGGAATTGGGTAAAGAGGGGAACTGGAAAGGTGAAAGCATATATCCTGCACAATGAAGAAGGTAGTGTTTTATATTTTCTATATAAAACCTTTCAGTTATCAAATAAAAAGGCAGACAGCCCAAATACACATTTTAGAGAACTTGAATCATAGATAATATATGGCATGTGCTTCTTATATTCATGGGCTTCCCTGGTGGCTCAGAGGTTAAAGCATCTGCCTCCAATGTGGGAGACCCAGGTTCGATCCCTGGGT